CGCCAGCAAGCATCGTCATGGCCCCCGACGTGTCCCGGAACAAAAACGGAGTCACAGCCACAGCTTCAAAGACGGCCATGGCCGCTGCATTATGCCTGTTCACCTAGTGCGTCATGATGAGGACGAACATGAAGAGCATGTGTTCCCATTCGTCTTCCGAGCAAACGACGGACGAAGGATTCATGGTTTCTATGGCACAAACAAAAAAACGTGTTCCCAACGTACACACGTACGTGTCCGCCCAACTTTGCAGACCCACAACCTTTGTCCAGAAGACAAAAGACACACCTGTCCCTGACCTGCATCTTCCTTCTTCACCTTCGGGTCGTCATCATCCCCCTCTCGCCTACCCCCCCCCCCCTCCCTTCCCTCCCTCCCATCGTTGCGATGAGACCTCCCGTCCCACTCCGCGGACGTCCCAACGGCCACACGGGGCCAACGGCAGGACGGGTGCCCCAGCCCATGTCCCCAACGATTGTTTCACTGCCCGTACATGCAACGCCGTGGGGGAGCGGCCGATAAGCAGCCTGTGTACCGCATGGCACCTGTTCGACAGATGTCACACTGCATCACACACAGCCACACACGAACATGTCTTGGTACAGCCACAACGGAAGGCCATGGACCGGTGCCCCTACCGAACTTTCCTATTTCGGACCTGGCCTTTCAAGTTTCCCTATTCGGGCAAGTGCCGCCGTTTCCAATGCCAAAGTTTGTGGTCGCGGTGGGGTGCCAACAAAATCTGTCAAACACGTTCCAACGACGGTGGGTGGTTTTTAATGGCCTCGCGATTTTTTTTTATTTTTTTTTTATTATTTTTTTTGGGAAAACAGTCTCCACATTTTATTGCACAATAGCACTGGGGCCCCGGAATCACCCCACAAAACAACCCGGATACAACAGAGGATACATGCTCAGGCCCTTACCCAGCTGTAGGCTTATGTAACCTGGACCCTGCGCCAGCGTAAAAAGTGGTTCTCCCAAAAGGAAAAAAAGGGGTGAGGTAGGGACCAACATCCCAGCCATAACCTTATCTTCTAGAGTGATTTAGGAACTAGACACACTGCTATTAGACTGACCAATCATAATGGGGAGCTAAANCCCAGCCATAACCTTATCTTCTAGAGTGATTTAGGAACTAGACACACTGCTATTAGACTGACCAATCATAATGGGGAGCTAAAGCGCTCACCATACCCCGTGGGGGAGAGTAGCCATGGCACTGCACAGACCCTACCTAACGGGTTCAGTTTAGCTAATCTGGACTCTCTCCCCCATGTGTCTCGAAACCATTTCTTGAAACTATCACTCTGATCGTTCATTTCCTTTCAGCACCAATCACTCTGGATTTTTGTTATAATATTTGATGTGATCCTGTTCTTGATTGCCAAGTCTGACGTAAACTGCCTTTTAAACAACTGATTAATTTTGTCATCCCAAATCACTTTCATTATAATCGCCCTTATAGCCTGGGCAACATACAACCAGTTGCTTTCTTGCTTGTCAGATGTCCTCTGTACACCTGACTCTATCCCGTCATCAGACCACTGAAATTCACCCTTCATAATACGGTTCCAGTGATATATCCACCAATCTCATATTCGTCTAGATGTCGGACATCTCAGCCACAAGTGTCTGTTTGTTTCCCAGAACCACCCACAACGTATGCATTTAGCTGGAATGCTCATCCCTTTATTAACTAGACTAACTGTTGTTGCTGTTGCAAGAAATAACTGAAGTCACAGAATGCTAGCCAGTCTTTGGGATGACATAGCTTTACATTGTTTGTACAGCGAATGCAGACTCTCCTTTGGAATGCTCAAGAACTCCTCACTGCTTTTGCGGATTTCAATCACTGTTGATGGTTTTTTCTTCACCTTCGACCTCAGAATCTCTGATCCTCTCTTCGAGGAGTAGGAGTCCAATGCTAACACCTTTGCCTCCTTCTCGTTCCACCATCCAATTCCACTTGTATCCGTCGGAGCCGCATGAAGAGGGGTGAGGCCTAGTGGGAGGCTTATCTTATGCACCGGCGTACCGCCAGCAGGCGCCCTTTGTGTCTTAATCCTCATTACCACTTCCTCAACTTCTTTCAAATGAGCAACCCTCATTGTATCTCCTCTTTCCAGTTCCTTGCTGAAACCAAAGTCCGACCGTTTCCTCCATTCTATCGCCGCATAGCCCTCTTCCCCCAAATCATCAGTTATCTGAAGTATACCATCAATGACACCCTTGACACAGCACCACAGTTCCGTTATTGGGATCTCCTTACCCTTTCGTAACAGTTGTGTCCACGAATAAGGTATGGCCTGGCAAATCTTGGTAAGTCTTTCTGGGACTTCCTAAGCCTTCCCAGTTTTTCCTTCACCTCTTCCACCTCTTCCACCTGCTTTCTTCCCTATCCCATATATCCTTAACTCGTACTATCCTCTTTTCTATCCAAGCCTTACCAAAGTTGTCTGTACTGTCATGCGTTGAAAAGGTATGTCCCTGATTGTTTTTTATTAGTGGGTTCTCGAATAGGATCTCAGATAGGACTGCTGCTTTCGATTTTGGCTGCTCCCTGTCCATGGGGAAGACCTGCTGCCATGCCTTCAAAATGTTCCTCCAAAACACTGACTTTGGTCTCTTATTCACGTATGAAGGAATCAGCAGACAAGCTTGAATGTCTTCTGTTCTTGTTAAAGACCACTCTTTTCCCAAAATATAACACGCTAACAGCCACCAAGGGTCTTCAAGTTCTTCTTCTGCCAGCAGCGCCTTCACTAGCCATTTTGCAAGGAGAGCCACATTTTGTTGGTGGGGGTCTAGTATACCCAGGCCCCCTTCATCTCTCGGAAAAGCCACCATCTCTCATGCTACCTTGGAATAAAACCCTTGATCCTTGTCGCCTTCCGGTTTTCACAGTAGCCTTGCTGCCGCTTTCTTGATCCTTTTGTACGTGTCATCCTCCAACAGATGGACTGCTAGCATAAACCATAAAACTGAGAAGGTTGCAAAGGTGATTACCATGACCCTCCCTACCAGGGAAAGGTGCCTGGTGTTCTTCCAAGATGTCAGTCTGTTATTGAACTTCTCCTCCAACAAAGAGTCTTGAAAATCTGCATTCTCTGTCAACGACACTTGGATCCCCAAAAACCGGTCAGAAGCATTTGTTGGAACCTTCTTCAGACCCCAATTGACTTGTAGATTGAAATCATTAGGAAGAAAGTAGACTGATTTGCTCCAATTGATAGCCGCCTCAGATAGATCGCAGTAATTATTCAGGACTTTCCGTAAGGACATCAATGCAGGACGGTTGTTTTGGCAGACCACCGTGAGGTCATCTGCCAGGGCCCCCCCTTTCCATTGAATTTTTTTCTGTATTTCAAGCCCTTTGATTTCTTCATTAAAGCGAAGGTTATCCAGCAGTACTTCCAGGTGTACCACAAAGAGCAGGGGGGACAGTGGGCAGCCCTGTCTCAGTGACCTAGATAATGCAAAATTGTCTGATACGTATCCATTCACAATTACTATCGTTGCTGCCGTAGAATACATGATTTTAACCCATCAGGAAAAATTTTCCCCAAACCCCATGTGCTTTAGTGTGGTCATAATGAAAGCCCAGCCTACGCGGTCGTAGGCTTTTTCCATATCAAGTAGTAAAATTGCCACATCTTTGTTCTCAGTTGCTATGACTTCCAGGGCCTGTATAGTGGCAGCGATGTTATCGGTGATGGACCGGTGCTTGACAAAAACCCTATGTTCCTTCATAATAAGTTTCGGGAGATAGCGGCCTAATCGTAGGGCCAAAGCTTTGGGCAAGATTTTATAAGATACGTTAAGGACTGATATAGGACGCCAATTTCTTATTTCCTTCTTGTCCCCTTTCTTATAGAGAAGGGTGATGATGCCATTCATCATTCCTATTGTCAAGCTTCCTCCTGTCAGCACCTTATTGTAAATATTCATGAGATAGGGAACCATCTTAGGCCACACTGCTAAGTAAAGTTCCACTGGTAATCCATCGTTTCTAGGGCACTTTCCTTTTTTCATTTTTTTAGCCGCTACCAAAAGTTCTTCTTCTGTCAGGGGTCTATCCAAGTCAAGACGAGCTTGAGTGGATATCCTCTTCTGCGTCAATGTCCAGAAATCCGAGTTCTGTCGAAGGTCAGTTTCCATGGTATCAGAAATTCATTTGGAGGTCAGAATGTCCTTAAAGTAAATTTTTGCAAATTCCCCCATCTGATGTACGTCGTTTGTCACAGGAACCTGACTGGAAAAGGGATGAGCCAATTCTTTCATCGGTTGTCTGGCCTGTTGTACAATCAACCTTCTGAAAGTGTTATTGGTCATCCTATCTCCTGTGATAATATTTCGCTGGGTCAGCCATTGTTTTCAATGCTCTTGTTGTTGTATTTTCATTGTCTCTAGCTTGGTCACGAGTTTTGTCTCTTTCGTTTCCTCACTGCAGTCCAGTAAACGTTTGTCATTGGGTGCTTTTCAAACTCAGATTCCGCTCTTAGACTCTGGATTACCCTTTTTTTATCCTCTTCTTTCTTATGTCTCGCTATTGCCTTTATTTGAGATATATAGCTCAGTCCTCCTTGAAGGAGTCTGAAACCCACTTCCATCCACTGTTCTTCCGTCTCAAATAAAGGTTTCGCTTTCTGCCATTGATCGAGATGCTTATTGACCCAGTCTAGGACTCCATGATCTTTCAAATGATTCACATTCAACTTGAAGTACGAAGGGCCAAATTTTTTCTCTTGTGAGAGTTTCAACTCTGTTGTGACCGGGTTGTGGCATGAAAGTGAAGCTTGTGTTGTTTCAACTCGCGTGCAGGCTGACCACGGTTCCCCTCTCATCAAAAAGAAATCAAGTCTTCTACAGACCGGTGGGGTCTGTAACCCACACCAAGTGAATCCATTTAAGTCCGGGTTTAAGATTCTGAAGACGTTGCTCAGATCTTGTGATGTTATAAAGGCCTGCAGAAACCTCGTATCAGTCTTTATTGGGCTCGGGTCTGGGCTATCTAGGCCCGGATTAAGAACAGTGTTCCAATCCGCTGCCAAAATCAGATTGGCTGAGTCAGGAATCAAGCCTGGTAGTTTTGCTAGGAAGGTAACTCGTTTGTTATAGTCTATAAGAAGGTACAAGGACATTATAGTCCATTCCTCTACTCCCATTCTGAATTTAACCCATACCCACCTCCCCCACATGTCTACCATGTTGTCAATAATTATCGTATCTAGATTTCGGTGGAAGAGGATACCTGTTCCCCCCCTGATTCACTTGTGGTTTTTCAACTCGTGTGCAGGCTGGTCACGGTTCCCCTCTCATAAAAAAGAAATCAAGTCTTCTACGGACCGGTGGGGTCTGTGACCCACACCAAGTGAATCCATTTAAGTCTGGGTTCAAGATTCTGAAGGCGTCGCTCTGATCTTGTGATGTTATAAAGGCCTGTCGTATCAGTCTTTATTGGGCTCAGGTCTGGGCTATCTAGGCCCGGATTAAAAACAGTGTTTCAATCCGTTGCCAAAATCAGATTGGTTGAGTTAAGAATCAAGCCTGGTAGTTCTGCCAGGAAGGTAACTCGTTTGTTATAGTCCGTAGGAAGGTACAAGGACATTAGAGTCCACCCCTCTACTCCCATTGTGAATTTAACCCATACCCACCTCCCCCACATGTCTACCATGTTGTCAATAATTACCGTATCTAGATTTCGGTGGAAGAGGATACATGTTCCCCCCCTGGTTCCTTGGGGTCCATCACCCCCCCTGGCTAGAGCCCAAAACTGAGGGTCCGTCCACCATCTAGAAGTTTCTTCAATTCTCTGCTCATCTAACTTAGATTCCTGTATACAGGCAATCTGTATTTTGTTCTCATGCAACCAGGATTTTAACCTGACCTTCCTGTGTTTCGTACCCGTATCACAGAGTCCACGCACGTTCCATGTTGTTATGCGTAGGATGCTCCTAGGTAGCATAGTTCAAACCTGTGCCGGTTGAACCATGGATACGGCCGAACGAAGACCCTGAGCCCTCTGACTGCTTACGTCGACGCATGCCTTCGCCTCTCTTCAAAAAAAAAATTTTGAATCAAGGGGCTCTCAACAGATCCGGGAAGCTGTCTGAGAAGATAAGTTCACGCTGTGGGGCATTCGCCAACCATTCAGCTATAACTTTGGCTGAAATCGAGTTTCTGAAGAGGATCATATCCAGTTCAACATGGAGAGTGGAGTCTAAGAGTGCGAGAGAAAACCATTCTTTCCCCATTCTTGAAAGTTCTTCTTTGATTTCATTGTTCATTTTAGCATCGAGAACCACAAAGTACAATCGCGCCATGTTCCCGTTGTGGTCTTCTGCTGTGAAGCATCCAACTCTGAACAGAGGTATCACCCTCACTTGCAAAAAGTTCGGGATTATATCCTTTACTTTATTCAATATCGCCAGTTTTGTCAGTGCCGCGTCCGTTTCCACTAACGGCAATTCCATCGTTTCGTTTGCTAGCAAATTTGCCATTACCACGACCCCCTTACTCGAATTGGCACAGATGAGGGGGATGAGAATTTTTGGGATATTAGCATCCGCCCTGTCCAGAGTTTGGACAGGGTCAGTGATGCTCAAACCTCCATGCAGATCATATTTCCGCAATTCATCCTTCATGTCCCCTTCCCCTTCGATAAAGTCTTCGAACTCCAGGATCTCTTCTTCCATGTGGTTCTGCTCCGTTGTCCGTTCCTGTTCCGAGTTTGCCCATCCATCACCTTTTCCCCCCAAAAGTCTCACCGCCGCTTCTTCTAGCTTATGCATGGAGCGGTCACCGTAGGCACCCGACTCCTCTTTACGAGCTTCCTTTCCTTTCTCATGCGCCTTGCCAGAGGCGTCGGATTCCCCTCCATCAGAGGGCTGATTCGACTTCTCTTTCCAGCGCACCCCTTTATTAAATCCCCCTGCTGATCCTTTCTGTACATTTTGATCCCTTTCTGTGCCTTTCTGTAACCCACCTTTTCCCCCTTTCGCTTTTCCGTTCTGCTTTCCGTTCCCCTTCTTTGCTTTTCCTGTGACGCCCAACCTCACGGCTCACGCCCAGCGCGACTTCCTGATCGGAGTAGAGTGTGGGCCTGGAAGTGCGACAAGGGGTGTGCCAAGGATTTTTGGGGAAGTGGGGGTGGAGTCCCAAGTCAGAACTGAGATCTCCTATGGCAGGGTTTTTCGGGGGCACGAGTGCAATTTGGCGGAGAGGGCAGACCGCCTCTGGTTATAAGGCAGATGGCATGCGCGGGTCATTCAAGGCCGGGCAAGCCATTGGTTCCGAGGACGGCGGTTTGCGGGAAGGTCCCTTCGGGGTGGGTGAGGTTCCGATGAGCCAGGCGGTCGGAAGTTGCCACGGGGCGCTGGTCGTCGCGCGTTTGGGTTAGGCCTCCGGAATTTCAGGGTCCGCTGGTCGCCGCGCCGTCGGCAATTTTCGCAGGGCGTGCTGGGCCACTATGGGGCTATGGCCTTCCACGGGACGACACTGAGTCGGTGATATGGAAGAAGAAGACGGAAGGGGGGGGAGCTGGTGGAGATAACGACTAATCCGGGGTGGGTGAAGTAGTGGGTGTGGTCCTGAGTGGGGAAATCAGAGCATCGGGGGTCGCTAGTGATGGCGCAGTGAAACTCCCTAGGACACAGTCGATTCTTTGTTAGGCAAGGGTATCTCTGTCAGAGGCTTTCCTCTATCAAAGGGGTGAAATAGTTCGGGTCATACAACAATGACTCTGAGCTCTCGGAGTGTGTCATTATGTCATCGCAGAGCTGCGAGATGCCTGAGGGCGGGTCTGTGCCGATTGCAATCACCGCGTGTGAGCACGTGCAGGCTGCGCGAATCGAGTCGTGTTTACACGTGTTCGCACGGGATGGCCATATCCAATCAAACAGTACTCTTGTAATTGACGAATCGACGCACGGGGACACGTGTAAAGGCGCAGATCAGGTCGTGATTACACGCGTCCTCGCGCGGCGTTCGCTGAGTCAGACATTCGATTGTCTAATCACTCCGTAATTTTCGAGCTTGCAAGATGCAATAGCCACAATGGCTCAATCAAAAGATAAGCAAAAACGAAAACAGGATTAACGATTGCACAAAATTCCTATCCTACTCATGAGTGCATCAAAGGCAGTAAACAAAGGCAAAGGCAAGGATCCGGTAGAAAGACAAGCAACCAAACATGACATTCATTCATACATTCATACACCATATCCGAGATGGGAAATCGCAAGGACAAGGGTGAGCGAAAAACCAAATCCGGATTCCGAGAAACAGAAACGGGCAAATCACCCGGAGCCGAAATCAAAATTTATATACACGAGACATGAGGGAGAAAAGATAAAAGAAACAACAAATCTGCATCCATCAACCTCAGCTCCCTCTTCCTCTCTCTCTCTCTGATGCGGACAGTCCGTCGTCGCGCACCAACCCACGAAGTCGTCACCCCGCATAGTCCTCCCCCACCCGTCATTTTCGCCCGCGCCCACAGTCCGTCGTGGCCCGCGTCAACCCCGCGTACTTGGCACCAGCTCGTCGGGTCGCTCGACTCCTGCTCTACTCACCTCTTACTTCGCTGGTGTGCCGACCCTCTCTGATCGCGCAACCCCGAGCTTCCGCTTAGCTGGTTAAGAGAGTTAACTAATCGCGCAGGCTGAAATTTATAGCGTGTATGCATGCGCGAGGAACACGGAATTACAAAGACTTAGAAAAAGAGAAGGGGGAGGGATTGCCTACGCCTGCATGGCCAGAACACGGTGTGCGGGACGTAGCCACTCTCCACGCATCGATCCGATCATGCAGACCGTGGCTACCAAAAACGCAGCAAAAGAAAGAGAAGAGGGGCGGTAAAGACGAAGCACAAGAAGAAAGATATAGTTACAATGGCGCCAATCCAAAATTACAGTTACACACCCGATTAAAGGCGCCGACTAATCAGCATTTCGTTGCAGCCGCATAAAGAAGCGTGTAAACAAAGGCGTCGTGCAGCAAAAGAAAGTCCTAATAATTCCTAAACTCCTATCTAATGCGGAAAAGCAAAAAGCACAAGTTCCGGAAAGAAAGTCCGAAATTCCAAGAGCCATCGGGGCTCAACAAGATTCGAAAAAGAATTCGAAAAGGAAATTTAAAAAAGAACGAAGAAAAATTCTCGCGCGATGTCCGCGGCTAAAAGGTTCCGAAACCAAAACAAAAGAAACAACGTCAACATTTATTATTCGCACGCTCGGCGGCGCGCAAGCCATTTGCCCAACCAATCAATCGCCCATCCCGGGACTCACCCAGCTCCGAACTCAGCCATCCGAAAAGAATCGACTTAAAAGACGAAGAAGCGAGGGTACTGATGCAATTTCCCATCCATCCCAATCTCCTGTAGTTGACCAAACCTTCCCAGCTTAGGACCCCTCATTGCAATCGCGCAGAAAGTTGCACGCTACAGAAAGTGGTTCGTCACATTCCAGCTTTGCGATTTTTCATTTTCCCCATTTTGGGGTTTCTTTCCTTCGCATTCCGAGATAAGGGGTCACGCTCGTTTCTCCCTTTCTTCATGAGATGAGCTGGCAGTCTGCTGAAAACCGCCTTTGGGGGTTCTTCCCCGTCCGGAACAAATCCCGAAAACTTGGGCTTTGGCGGAGATTGTCTGGGGCCAGGATGGAGGAAAGGATCCACTTCCTTGGCCGGACACACTTCATCCTTGTCTGTGTGATAAAATATGTAACAGACATCACACCAGGGTGTTTCTGGCGACAGGATCTCGAAATAATAATCCCCCTGATTAGGTATTCCGATTACCAAACGAGGTTTGATTGCAGCTTGAGCTTTGTAGTCCAGGTCAAACCTTACTGACTGTTGCATACTGTAACGTGCAGACCAGAACAAGAACCGACCTTTCAATACAAAGTATAAGATAGCACAACGGAAGACTTAGATACCAGTGATCCGAACAATCAATGTTGTAATGCAATCCTGAACATACATCATCATCATCGTTACATGGTGTGAATGGGCCTGGCGCTTCACACAGGAAGACACGGCAGCCCGTACCATACACAGACGAAGAGGAAGGGGATAGACGAAGAGGAGGGGGAAGATGGGAATGTCGTCAACACCAAGTCTTCGGCACAAGCCCAAATAGTCCCGCGTCGAAATGTCTGAATCCCAAATGTCAAGTCTGGATCCAATGTCGTCAAGTCTCAAGTCAAAACTCTGTCTCTCTCTGTCGTAGTCTGAGAAGTCAGGTGGCGAGAGGGTGAGAAGAGAAAGTGGACKTAGAAGAGGAAGAAGAAGAACTCTCTCTCTCTCTTTGTGTCCAGTACTAACCTGTGAAGTTGGCGCCTTGATGCAGGTACCACGAAGATGGAGCTGGAGCGATGGCGCCACAGGTAAGTATCGCTGGCCTCCGCCAGCCTCTCTCTCCCACTCTACGATGTACCACCTACCAGCGCCCAGCGCTGAAGACTACAACTACAGCTATGGCACCCAGCGCCGAAGACTACAGCTAGCGCTAATACCTACTGCCTAGCGCTGAAGACTACTGCAGCGCTCCTCCTGAGTGTTGCGGCCGAAATCCTAAGGACTACCCCTGCCTACTGACACTACCTACCCGTAAAGTGCATGGGAACTTCCTATGTACTACGGGTGTGCCTCCTGAGCCTGTCGAAGGGAGGCAGGGGCTGCAGCTGCAGCTCCTGCTCAAACTCGTGAGGAACAGGCTATTTCTGGCCTGTTTCGCATCCTTGTTTACGTGCCTGAGTCTTAGGGGCAGGTCGAAACAATGAGGGCCTGAAAATGGCCCTCCGTTTCAGGCTGAAAACTTTAGGTCTGAAAAGACCCAGAAATAGGCTGAAACGGGGTAGGGCCTGCAGGCCCTCGTTTTTCAGCTTCAGGCTGAAACGAACGGGGCCTGTAAGCCCTAAGTCTTAGGCTTTTAGGCTGAATGTCCGGGACGGGCCCTTCAGGGCCCGTGTGGCTACGCAGTATGCCACACCCCCCCCTCCTTGAAGAACCGGGCTTACCTGCGAGGGCGAAGCTGTTTGTCTGAGGGAGGGACCACAGTCTGGGTGGGAGGGGCTGGTCGTGAAGCTTCCTGAGCTAACCTGCACTTTTCATAATGCGCGTAGATCAGCGGTGCGGATGCTTTCAAATCTGCGGCTGAAATCCACCGAGTGTCGTCGTGATCGCATGCTTTGAATGTGACTTTGTACTGCCGCGGCTTGCTGCCGTACTTGCGATCGGAGATGACGCGGTCAACTTCCTGATGGCCATCCATAGAAGGAGGGTCCTGCGATCGTCGGTCCGGAAAGTCGTCGCTCTTGGCTGGCGTGTATGTTGCCAGCTTCGAGGCGTGGAAGACCGAATGGACCGTCAGATGCTCTGGAATGTTGATCACAAATGAAGGGTCATCGGGCTCATCGCCCGCGGCTGCTGTCACAGACCAAGGTCCAAACCACTTGGGAAGCAGTTTGCGTGAAACATCCTGTTCCAGTTCAAACTCTTCCGCGGAGACCCAAACCAGATCACCGGCGCGGATGGGACATGGTACACGACGCCTGTTGGCTTGCTGCTACATGCGGACTTGTGCCTTTTGCATATTTGCGCAGGCTTGAGTTAGCAATTCCCTGTACTTCCGGACGGAAGCGGGGAAGCAGGCAGCGTCAAGGTCGGCTGGTCGAGGGAGGATAAGGTCAGCGAAGATCCGGCCTTTCCGTCCACCGTGGTGCAACTCGAATGGAGTCACGTCGATCGCCGGATGCACCGAAGTGTTATAGGCGAACTCGATGTCGGAAAGGCAGTCAACCCAATCTTTCTGGTCCGGACGGATGAGCGTACGCAGCATCATTTGAGCGGTTTGATGTGCCCGCTCCGTCTGCCCGTCCGTCTGAGGATGTCGAGCCGAACTTAGTTTCATTGTTGTGTCGGACTCCTGCATGAAAGCAGTCCAAAACGTCGACATGAAACGAGTCTCGAGGTCGTTGACAATGTCTTCAAGTACACCGTGGCCACAAATCCAACCAGTGTGCAGGAGGCGTCCCAACTCGGGAGCCGTGGAGTAGTACTTGCAAGGGAGAAAACGTGCGTACTTACTCAATCGGTCCACAACCGTGAGGATGTCGTCGTGCCTGAGCCGGTCGCGAGGAAACGGACCGGTGACGTCCATGGCAATGGAGAGACCGAGTTCCCGTGGGATAGGCATCTGGTGTAACTCGCCGTAGGGATTGCGGTTGCGGGGCTTGCTGCGTCGGCAAACTACGCAAGAGTCACAATACCGAGTGACATCGGTAATGAGGTCGGGCCATCGGAATCGCTGTCGAAGCCGTGCAATAGTGCGGTTGACTCCGAAATGGCCGGCGAGTCGTGAATCATGGTACTTGCCGAGGAGGCGAGTCCGAAGACGACGGTCGCGTGGGACACATAGTAAGTCCTTGCCTCTCGAGTGGAGGAGCAAGTACCCGTCGGCAATGCGGTAATGGCTGGCCGGCGGGTGATCCGAA